GGTTGATACTGGATGTCAAATTTAGACAACTCGACTGCCACTTAACTAGGCATCCCGAGGTCTCAGGTTTGGTGAGGACGACCTTAAGGGGTTGGTTCATTAGAACCACGATAGTATGACTTTGAAAATACGGCTTGAGCTTTCTAGCCGAGATGACGAGGGTGAAGGCCAATTTTTCCACTTCGGGATACCTGGTTTCGGTATCACAGAGGAACTTGTTAACATAGTATATGGGTCTCTGGACAACATCATCTTTTACTAGGACCGAGCTGATGGTCTCGTCCCCTGCTGACAAGTATAAGTACAGGGTTTCCCCTGGTGCCGGCCAAGCGAGGAGGGGAGGGGAGGCGAGGTATAGCTTTAGTTCATCAAAGGCGTGTTGACACTCCTCCGTCCACTGAAAATCCTTTAGCTTTCAGATGGTGTGGAAGAAGGGAAGGCAACAGGTAGCCAACTTTAACATGAAGTGGTTGAGAGCAGCTATCCGGCCGGTGAGTCTCTGAGTTTTCTTCACCGACCGAGGGGGCGCCATATCCAGTATGGTTTGTATTTTCTCAGGGTTGGCCTCAATGCCTCTTTGAGTGACGACGAAGCCTAAAAACTTGCGCACGGTAACGCTGAGGGCACACTTGCTCGGATTAAGCTTCATGTTGAACCTGCATAGAGTACCGTAGGTCTCGGCTAGGTCCGAGGTGTGTGCTTCGGCTTTCAGGCTCTTCACTACCATGTCATCCACATAAGCTTCGATGTTCCTCCCCATTTGGTTTTCGAACACTTGGTTGACGAGGCGTTGGTAGGTGGCCCTTGCATTCTTGAGGCCAAACAACATCACTTTGTAGCAGTAACTGCCGTGCTCAGTAATGAACGAGGCCTTCTCCTCGTCCTCTGGGTGCATCTTTATTTGGTTATATCCGAAGAAGGCATCCATAAAGCTAAGTAGCTCATACTCTGCAATGGCGTCGACGAGGTGGTTTATCCTTGGCAAAGGAGAACTGTCTTTGGGGCTAGCTTGGTTAAGGTCTATGAAGTCAATACAGATCCGCCATTTCCCATTAGCCTTCTTTACCAAAACCACAGTGGACAACCAGTTAGGGTAGTGTACCCCTCAGATGAAGCCGACACTGAGTAGCTTACCAACTTCCTCTCCTATGGCCTTCTAACGCTCTGGTGCAAAGTTCCTCTGCTTTTGCCGAACTAGCCTAGAGCTTGGGTCCACGCTCAGCCTGTGAGTGATGACCGAAGGGTCAATTCCGGGTATATCAACAGTGGACCAAGCAAAGACGTCGGCATTAGTTTTGAGGAAACTTACCAGTTCGGATAAGTGTTCAGGGGGAAGGTTGGACCTGACATGGACTGTCTTCTTGGGGTCTGCCTCGTATAGGAGGACTGAGATGAGGTCCTCGTCTGGCTGGCCTCGGCTCGTTGGTTCCTCCTAGGTCGAAGCCCTCTAGTGGTAGTGCTTCCTTGTTCTTGTCCTTCAGCGCTATCACATAGCACTGATGGGCTGTTTGCTGGTCCCCATGAACAATTCTGATACCGTGCTCGGTGAGGAACTTGAGGGCGAGGTGATACGAGGTGGTAGCCCTTGGTGCGTGAAGGGTCAGTCTCCCCATGACAACATTGTAAGGCGAGTCGATCATCACTACCAGAAACTCATTCATCCTCATCACCTGTTGGGGCTCGGTCCCTACCGTGATCGGTAGGGTAATGTTTCCCTCCGGTTTGACCACGTTATCAGAGAAGCTGACCAATGGGACATGGGCTGGCTCGAGGCGCTCAGGCGCGATCTTCATCTTTTGAAAGGCTTCGTAGAAGAGGATGTCAGCCGAGGAACCCGTGTTGATGAGGATCCTCTTAACTATGAAGTTTGTGATGACGATCGAGATTACCAAGGCATCATCATGAGGGACTACGACCCCCTTCAAGTCCTCGTCCGTAAAGGAGAGGGTTTCCTGCTGCTAGGGCTTTTTGGGTGCAGGCCTGTGGATGCTTAACTGCTTGGCATAGGCCTTGCAGACCGAGGCTGAGGTTTCATCTGAGGTCGTGCCCCTGGTGATGATGTCGATGACACTGACTATCTACTGGTGTTGCTGCTACTGTGGTTGTTGCAGGAAGAACGAGGCGCTGACCTCTCCCCCTACGAACTACTTGAGGTGCCCGTGGTAGATGCGGGACTCTATCTCATTCTTCAGATCATAGCAGTCCTCTGTGTCATGCTCGGTGCCATGGTGGTACTTGCAGTACTTCTTAGGATTTCCCCTCTTGGGGTTTCTCTTCATCTTTTCAAGCCACTTCACGTACTTCTCCTCCCAGATCCGCATCAGTATCTAGGCATGGGTGGAGTTAAGTGGCGTGTATTCCTTGTAAGCCAGGGCTGAGGCCGGTGGCTTCTTATTGTCCTTGTCGCTATTGTTGTTGTTGTGGTGGTTATCTCCGCCTTTCCTCCTCTTCTCAGGGGGCCCGTAGTGGCGCTCGGCTTCCCTTTCCTAGTGGTCCCCGGCCGAAGAGGCTTTGGCTGCAATATACTTTTAGGCCTTCTTTAGGAACTCTAGCTTCATCTTCGATAGGTCTTAGTGATCGAGCACTTCAGGGCCGAGTCGGGGCAGAGCTCATTAATGGCAGCATGCATGGAGACCATGGGGTCGATGTAGGACTATAGGCTTTCTCCTTGCTTTTGTTTGATAGACATCAGTGAGACAACGCTCTTCTGGCATCGCCTGCTATTGTCGAAGCGGGCGAGAAATAAATTGGCAAACTGCTCCAACGAACTGATTGACCGGGGTAAGAGGCTGGAGAACCAACGACGGGTGACTGCTCTGAAGGTGGCTTGGAAAGTCTGCCACATCAAGGCGTCGGAGTACCTGTAAAATATCATAAGAGCTCTGAAGCTCTCTATGTGGTTGTCAGGGTTCGAGGTCCCGTCGTACATTTCCAATGTAAGGGCCTTAAAGTGTTGGGGAGAGGCTCAAAGATGATATCTAAGGTGAAGGCATCCATTCTCCTTGTCGGATTGTTTTGGTCGCCCGAGGCATCAGCGCGACTCTCTTGAACTTGGCGGACATTGTCCTTGACGGCCCCGAGCTCGGCTCGCAACTTCGCAATCCGAGGGTCGAGTGGGGCTTTCCGCCCGTCTTTATCTTCACGGGCATGGTGGGGATCCTCATGAACTCTGGAATGCTCCGAGATAGGATTGCGCACCTCCCGTCTGGCACGACGGTCGTTCAGGACGTCGCAGAGGTCTAAGACCGGCGTGACGCTGGCCTTCGGCCCTTGAGTGGGTGCTATGGTGGTCTAAGTGTCCACCCTCATCCCGAGGGTTCTCCCTCTAGCGGCGATGATGTTGTTCAGAAGGCTGGCGGATGTCTTCGGACCGCGCTGGCTCTTCCCACCTTCAACTGGAAGGTTCTTCGTTCCTTTGTGGCAGGTTGATTGCTGCCAAGGGCTCGGCATGGTCATGTTGGCCTTGGTGATCTAACACCCCGACGGGGCGGTCGCCTCGGGAGGGACCTCCTGCTTAGGGGTAGGCTTGTTCCACGCGTTGCGTGAGGTACTCCAGGCGGTCAAGGACGGCCCAGAACTGTTCACTCGTGGCTAGGTTCTGAGCGTTCCTGGCTCTTCGTACCATGGTGGCCATAGCTTAGGAGATCTCAAGTTTGTAGAGTTTTAGGGGATCGTCTTAGCAATATTCACACAAACGGTGCCAATTGTTGCTACCCGGTTTGGCCAAGGGAAACAGGGTAAATTCGCTTCCGGGTTTTGAGGGCTAGCCGAAGGCTTTGATGGTTTAGAGAAGGTACGTTGAGGCTGAAGACAGTAGGCCGATGAGCTCCGTATGAGGATGCTCGTATGCACTAGGCTCCTAGGGGGCAAGGTCCTTCACTTATGTTTAGAGTTAGAGCGGGAATTCAGGATCCTTTACTTGGAGGGGGGTACCCCATATTTATACTTGAATTGCCTGGAGGTTGGTGGAAATGGATGCCCCCGATGAGCTCCGTATGAGGGCGGTTAGCGGGAGAAGCGGAGATGCTGGGACGCTTCGCTATTGGCTCCGTACGGGGGGAGCTGGGTAGCCCTCGCTGTGCTGGACTGGGACCCTGGCTGGCATTCGTCGGTTGGGCCCTCCAACCCATAATGGGCTGAGCCAAGTTACCCTACTTCATTTTCCAATGCATATTTACATAGATAATGAGATGTAAAAGTACATTAATAAGAAGTAAATTTGCATTCAAGTGGATTTTTGATAAAAAATGCATATATTTTATTGTAATTGGTGTTTGCTCGGTAAGAAGATAAAGGTAGAATGACCGATACCCCCAATGTCAGAATTTGTAGGTTCAATGTACGATCGGGGTAGCTGCTAGCTCAAAATTGATGCCAATTCATGGACAGGCGTGGGTGCATAGAGTGTGGGTATCAGTCCATTTAAATGTTTATAAGCCTGTAATGTAAATCAGAAATCTGCATTGAACAAATCCCTACTTTTCCGAAAGATAAATTTGTCAATACAAAACTAACCCACCTTTACGATTTATATGTACCCTTTTACACTCAATATATTTACATTCATACTTGTTTGCATCATTTCCAAATACAACCTTACATTTTAATAATCAAAACTCCAAGAGCAAAACCTCGCTTGCTGTTATAGTACGATACTACCTATGCTCTGTCGTATGGGGTTTTAAATTGAATTCAGATCTGCGCCCCAAAAACGCTTCACAGCCATCCAGCTGTGTATTGGAAACATCTCCCAATGACAAGTATGGGAGATACTTCCAATGCACGTGTGATATGCTGTGGGGCGTTTTTGCGGCGCGCTGGGTGGGGCGCATTTGTGAACTCTTCTAGATTCCGTTCCCCGGAAAGGTGGGAAGCCCCAACCCCAAGGCCGGCGACTTATAAGTCGCAGAATGCAAATTGTGAATACTTTTTTTTTTGGTAAGAATGAATTGTGAATACGACAAAGATAAATTTCTCTCAAATTTTATATTTCTTACTTATTTTTAAATAAGTAAATAAATTCCCCCTTCTGAAAGATGCAGGAACTACTGCTATTGCAGTATGCCTTCTTCGGCTCTAGCTCTCTTCTCTGCCTAGCATTTTATGTGTAATATTCTCTCTCTCTCTGGTTCTGTGAGATGTGAATGGCTGTAAGATAGAGCGGGAAGGGAAGCGATCAAAGGAGAGAGAGGGATGAACGACCTCTCCAATGCTTTGAGAGAAAGGCGCCATTGTTGTAGCTGCAGGCCAATCCCGACTCCAGTTGTGTGCTTGCTCATCCCTCTCTTCTTTATAGGTATCGCGGTTTCCATATTCATCTTGGTCGTTGTTCACAACGCATTCTTCTTCGTCTCTCTCCTGTTGCTCTCAGCTGCTGTTCTCGCTTTTCTAGTTTGGAACACTCTCAACTGGAGGAGAAATGGGGCCATCCTGCTCTTTCTCGACTCCTTCCCCGATTCCGACCTTCGCACCGCTACACATGGACAGCTCGTTAAGATCACTGGTGTAATTAACCTCAACCCTCATCCCATCCCCCATTTATGATCTTGTTTTGTTTCCCTCTTCTAGGGTTTATTCTTCTACTTGTTGAAACCTTTTCTTTTCATTTTTTATTGTTAAATATGTTTTTTAGTCTTAGGTTTCTGAACTATGTTTATTAATTTATTCTCAACTGATAGGTATGAGGGAATGAATCTTTTATTCTCTGTTATCATTTTTATAAATTGGTGAAAACTGTAAAAATTGTCAATGCTGGATTGAAATTTCATAGACTGTTAGTTCTAAGCAAAAGAAGTTATCCTTTATTTTTTTTCCTGGTCCTGCGCGTAAATTTGTTCTTTATGCTTCTGGAAGTAGGATTATCAATGTATTTCCTTACTCCTTGCAATTTCCAGTTTATAAAGATTTTGGTAATTTGTTTTTCGATATTCACATTATTGTCTAATCTTATGCATCAAATTATGGGCAAGGTTATATTATCTGGCAATCGTTTATTTGATATTGTGGAGGGTAGGTTTTTTGATAGAATTGCAATGCTTATGAAACATTGTATATATTAATAATTATTCAGATGCTTCATCATAAGTTGATCATTATACGAGTATCACTAACAAAACCCAGCCTTAGGACAATAACAAGTTTTGTTTTCTCAACAATGGTGATGGCCTCTGTTTGGTCAAAGCTGCAAGTTGGAATTAATTTTACTGTTTCTTGAAGAGTTATTGTGGTAAAGATTAAAGAAGGCTACCATTACGTTTTCTAACAGGGAAGATTCTCATTCTTCAAGAAACTTGCTATGCAAATGGAGGTCCTTTTTAATATACATTTTGGAAATTAAAGATGTATTTTTATTTAGATATGAAGATTAGGGCTGGGTTGAGAGTTGTGCTGAGTATCTTAGATATGAGGGCATTCAAATCCATATTCATTCTCCAATCCATCTTTTATATCTTTTTGAATTTCCTTGTCTATCATTGCTTTTGTACTTTGTTCTTTTAGTTGATAGAGAAGCAGTCTCTTAAATTGATTTGATAATTTCAGTTTGCTTCCTGTGGGAGTCTCTCTCTGGAATCTTCATATGAAAAAGTTCATAGATGTACTTTTACATCAACGTTGTTATACGAATATAAAGGATTTAGTTTGAAGAAAGCAAATGTTAACAATGGATGGTTCCAGTGGAGAGTAGCATATGCAGAGGTGTGGCAACTCTTCTTTTATAGTTTTGGATAACATTTTTATAGATTTTCCTTTGTATTTGGAGATGTTTGTTTACAGATATGTCATATGTATTGTTGATTTGCTTTAAAGTTTAGATGACATGTATAATTTGTTCAAGGAAAATGCCATTTTAAATTTGTTGATTCTTATTTGCTTGGTGAAATTTCTTTGCATTACAATTATGGTTTGCACCATTCAGTAGTACCAGATAGTTTCTTATTAGAAAGGACAAATTCTCTTTTGCATGATACTCTTTCTATTAAAACTGCTTATCTTGAAAGTTTAACATGCTAAACAATATGTTCAAAATAGATTTTATTTGAAGTTTGATAAAATCAGGGAAACTTTTTTTTTTTTAAACTGCAACAAATTAGTGTCTGTTGCACCACTCAGTTCAAGGTACATGTGACAATTATAAAAGAAAACCCAGTGGAATTTTAATCATCTCATTATATGGTCAGCATGCAATTGCCACCTGTCTGTCATGGATGAGAATTCTTATGTCATAAACACCACATACATATTTCTCCAATGGGAAGATGCTACAGGTCATGAACTTCATTCAATTGCCACCTCTGAAATATTTTATGATTGAATCAACTAACTAGTGGCAACTATGTGAATTTTCAAGGAACTTAACACATTCCATGCTAAATAACAAGAGCTTATGCCTATAAAACCCTAGTCAGTTGCTTTTCATTTTTTATGAGTGAAGTATAAACCTTTGGTTCAAGTATTTTGGTATAACCAAAAGTTTACTTGTTCCAATTCCACCTTATTGTAATCGAGGATTAAAATGATTAGGCAAGTATCTAATGGTTATGGATGTGGCTAGACCGTTAAGATACCACGAATGCTATTGGCATGCAAAAATTTTGACATTTGAAATCAGATGATAACAGAATAACGGATGTACATATGTAAGAAATTGACAACCGTAATATCCATGCCAGCATGCTAAACGACAACTAATAAGAAGTCTTTATAGGGTTACCTTCTAGTAATAAGTTTCGCTGGAAATTTTCCTTGCCAGAGATTCTCCACGGACTTCTACATCACTGACATGAAGTCTGGTATTAGAGTGATGGTAAAAGCTGGTTATGGTTCTAAAGTTATTCCCTTGATTGTTGAGAGCACACTTGTCAATACAACAAATAAGCACAGGGTATTATCTTCTTATCTAAGGAAATGGTTGGTAGAAAGGAATCTCTCAGCTGAAGCGCGTCTATTGCATCTGGAGGAAGGGTAACAGTCTATTAGGACTCGTACATTTTGAGATGCCTTATATTGAAATTCTTGGGAACTTATACGATGAAACTGTGCATGAAATTTTACAGGTACATAAAGGAAGGAAGCTCTGTGACTGTTATGGGAGTGTTGCACAAGAACAGTGACATAACCATGATTGTTCAGCCACCCGAAATTGTATCTACTGGGTGCCTATGGCGAGGTTTCCTCCTCCCTGTTGATGTTAACGGTTTGATCCTGAGGGTTTCTGAGACAAGTTCCTCGCCTCTGACTAACCCATGTTCTGGCGAGGAACCATAACAGTAACTGGTGAGCGATGTTGATCTACATTATTTCTTCTGGGATTTTACCCTCTTATTCCTTTTAGTTTATCAGTCCAAATATTTTTTGTACCATTAGATCTCCAACTATGACTACTAGGTTTTCATCATTGCATCTGATGCCTTTTCTATTGTTTCCTTATGTTTTGACCTTAAAGTTCTATCGAATCGTCTTGGAGATGAATTTTTCTATTGCTAGATGATTTCCTCTGACATTTCACCATTATAACTCCAAAGTATTGTAGCTTCTTGTACACCTACAGTAAGGTTGATAATAACATCTTTTTCCTCTTCCAGATAGCTGGGACCAACATTGGGTAATGGCCTTTTCCGCTTCCGGATGCCACTGCATTTTAATTCTCCTTTTCCCCATACAAGGTAATCTAATACTGATAATATGTCAAGGAAAATGTTCATGCATGCTTCTTGTTTTCTCCCGTGGCACATGAAAGTACTTGCTTTCTTGGGGTGGCTTCCTGGTAGCAAATCAAGAGCTTTTGCAAGGTTTTGGAGCTCTTTACACATTCTCGAAAGAACTGTTAAGCCATCTTAGCTGCAATGATCCAGTTTTTCCAGAAAATGAATGTCTGAGATAAGGGGCAATCAATGTGGTGCCGAGTGATGAGAGAAGGAACTGCCTCAGTGTTGGCTACACTTCATACTTTAACCACAGTGCACCAGATTATCCAAGAAGAAATTGATTGTTAGACAAGGGTTTTGTAATGTTGAGCAGTGCTATTGTAGTAGGATAGGGGTAAAACTTTTTAAGTGTTCCTTTTTTTTTTTGGGTGGACCGTAGACAACGTTTTAGTGTTCCTAATTTCTGCATAAGATGAATGATTTTACCAGGCATTTTTGTTATAATGTGGATCGTTAGGAAAGCTGTGCAAAATGACCTCTACTGTGGAATTACAGGTGATCACCAAGTTCTTGCCATGGGAGTTTCGTGAAGCTCCTCTCCCGTCGCAGCTTTCTGGTTTTGCAATGTGAGCTCCACCCAGCCAGCCTATAAGCAATATTTGGTGTAAATCCCTTGAAAGCTCAAATTTGCGTTTCTTCGAGGATATAACCCACTATTCATTGACGTTTCTTTTAGTTTAGTGGCTTCTCCATATCTGCCTAACCAAAGCTTCATCCCTCCCAAAGCGAAGCGTAAATGGCCACGGAACCCATCGTTGAATGGATGGTCCAAATATGGGCTGAGCTCGGGTGAACATCATGTTTTCAACTTTTGGCCCTAACCCATTGTTTGTCGTATTTATTAATTGTTGTTATTGGGGTAAAATGCACAAACCTCTCCTGAAGTTTCTGACAATCATAAAAGCCTCCTTAGTTTCATTTTAACAAATACTTCCCCTAACTTTTAAGAAATTCAACAAAAACCTTCCTTCCATCACTGTCCCAGACGAAAAATGTTAGAATTGATGCATCAGGTTTTTCTAAATACCCATTCTACCTTTTTATAAATAATTTTACATACAAAATTACTGAAATAATTCCATTTTAACTAAACAAAAACCTCTTTTAATGATCATTTCAGTAACATACAAAATTACTGAAATATGTTATTTTTGTTAAGTTAAAATGGGATTATTTTAATAATTTTGTATGTAAAATAATTTATAAAATGATAGAATGAGTATTTAGAAAAAACTGGTGCATCAATCTAACATTTTCTATCTGAAACAGTGACAGAAGGAAGGTTTTTGTTGAGTTTCTCAAAAGTTCAGGAAAGGTATTTATTAAAATGAAACTACATAGGAGATTTTGTATTTTACCCCTGTTATCATACTGTGAACACTTGCCAGCGTCAGCGCATGGGGTCAAATTTAGCAAAGGTTGAGAAGTTTTGCAAAATTTTGGTCTTGGCGAATTTACTCTGGTTAAAATTCTGAAATCGTTTCTTAAAATCTCGAATCACTTGTTCTGACCGAAATTTCAGGTTTTTGCATCATATATGATAAAATTAAATAATACAAATGTAGGCATGTTATATAATCTTAAAAATTTGAATAGAATGATTAAAACCTCGACATTATGGGTAAGACAGAAATCAGAACCCTTTAACTGCACATACGCTTATTTACGTCTCGTCCATTTTCAAATTTAAGCCAATACTTCTCTCGTAAAAAAAAGTAAATAAATAAAAACAATGGGGCGAAAGCGTCTGACCACCCCTTGATTTTTCCATCTAAATCCTGAATCTTAAACCTTAAAACCTAATTTTTTTTTTTCCTTTTAAGCCCTAATAAAATGCATTTCGTAGGACGCATGTCCTCCAACCAAGCAGGAGCCTAATATTTCCAGCTCCAATAATCATCACTCCAGAAGGTGCTAGAAACATAAATGTAGTGAAATGCGATACTTTGGCATTTATCACAAAACTGTATTTTACGCAGCGGGAGTGACACACATGGATATGGAATTTATTGGTGATATATAAAAAAATATAGTTAAAATTATATTTCTGCCCTCACAATATAGAGGGGACAAATAAAAAAAATAGGCGTAATTTAATACTTTTGTTAAGAAAAAGTCCAAAATTCTTAAAAATTCATTCATGGTTTTAATAATAGTATAGATATATATTATTATTTTTGGTTCCATGGGGCTACACCGCTACACAATGCAGATAGCCCATCCTCCAATCCCTGGTGAAGGTTGGATGGGGGACTATATAATAAATTAATGTAAATGTAATATATATACAATGTTTTGAAAACCGGACTGGACTGCCTGGTTGAACCGGTTAGATTGTGACCTGGCCCTTGGCCGGTCCGGATATACCCCCAAAATCGGTATGTTAAAAAAAAAAAAAAACTGGGAATAACTGGTCACCTGGCTGGTTCAGCCGATGAATCGTAAAACCGGTCCCGATTTTATATAACTGGCTGTTTTTTTTTTCATTTTCAGATTTAGTACAAAAAGACAAAAAATGTTAAATTGGGCCAAACAAGCCCTTAGGTCCAAATCCAATCAAATCTCAAATTCAAAAACCTAAAACAATCGATCTTTGATTGTTCAAAATGGCAAAACCTAACCTAATACCACTTGACCTTACCACCACCAGCGCCTCCAGCTCCGCCGATGCCATTATCATTGCCACTGACAGGTCTCTCTCTCTCACTTCTTCTTCTTCTTCCCATCAGTGGACTCTGTTCACCATGTGCGTTCCTCTCCTTCTAAATCCGCCGGTGGACTTTGTTCACCGTGCCCCTCTCCCTCCAACTCTACCAGCCAGTTAATCTCCTCCTCCTCCTCCACCTATACCACCGATGGACTTTGTTCGCCGGTGGACTTTACAGTTTAGTTATACCTAAATTTAAAATTTTAATGTTTATTTTTAATTATTGAACTTGATTATTTACTCTCATGAAATTCCAAGTTTATTTATTTATTACATCAGCACGGTTCAACCTCCGGGTCGACCCCAATCGGACCTTTGACCTGTGAACCTCTGCCTTTGCCGGGTTAATGCCCGATTCGGTTCTCTGAACATTATACATATATAAATTTATATATAGTATAATGTATAGTATTATACTTTTATATTTTATATATAATTATATAAATTTTATATAAATATCAATATGTTTATAATCAGATTTGGAGTTTAACCAGATTGGATGGACATTTTTATAAAATATAAATTCGATCCGATTATGAAAATACATCATTGAAATCGAGGATAATTAGATTGAATTTTAAATGACTTCAGCAAGCCAGCTGACACCTTCACCCATGACCCATCACGATAAAATTAAGGGTCCATTTGGTTCGCACTTGGAATTGGAATTGAAATGGTCTATTCCCCCAACCTGTTTGGTTCAAACAAGAATGACAATCAGAATTGGAATTGACTGGAACGGGATTCTCATTCCCAAGGGAGGGGGGGGGGGGATTAGGGATGTCAATGGACCATGTTTGGGTTGGACTTGTTTGAATCAAAACCAATTTGAACGGATTGGATAATCCGATAAGACATATTGAATTGGACCAGCCCAAATTTAGTGGTCCAAAGTATTTATTGGATTGGATTGGACCTAGTCCATATGCAGTGGATTTATATTGGATTGGATCAGGTTGAACTGATGTGTGGTCCATTAATAGAAGATCTAAACTACTTTAAAAAGTACAAATAGCCTCAATAATATTTCTAGAATTTTTTAAGGACAAAATTTATCCCTCCATATTTAAATTTATTCATAAAAAAAAGAGGGCAAAAAGGGTAATTGGTTATTGATATTAAATAACTTGAAACGAGGTCATTTTAAGATATTCAATGCATTCACTTCCCTCTCATTAAATCCAAAATTTAAGGTATTAACTTGCATTCACCTTCATTGAATCCTATATTTAAGTCATTTTTGCTTCATCTCATCAATAAATTCTATTAATTAAATCCATATATAATAAATTGATAATTTTAATAACACAAAAACTTATACTTTTAAAATATACCTTGAAAAAAGTGTTTTCATCTAAGTAGTGATAAGAAATTAAATCATTTTGGGTTAAATGGGACAACCCTTGTTGTCACAATTAAATAATAAAATTCAAAAATAGATAAAGTGCAAAAAAATATAGAAATTAAAAAATGGTAATATTTTTAACATCATATATTCTACATATTAAACAAGAATAAGTATGATAAATAAGAAATGCTTTTATTAATGATGAAAATGGAATGTAAAATTTAAAACTAATTGGAAATATAATTATTTTCCTATTTTCACTCATTAAATATCATATCTGAGGTATATTCTCTGATTAAATCCCATATTTAAGATATATTTTTATCATCATTAAATTCTACTAATTAAATTCATAACATTAATTTTAATAGTATAAAAATAAATATTTTAAAAAAGGAATTTAAAAAAACAAAATCATTTTCTTCCCTTCCGGTGGTGGGTAAGCAATTCTACCATATGGGGTCAAATGGGTTAATAAATAATGTCATAGTTAAATAATAAAATAAGTTAGAATAAATTAAATATATAATACAAGTAAAAATAGAAAGAACTGGGCATATATCTAATATTGTATATTCATTATACTAAACAAAAATGTATGAAATGTAAGAAATATTCTTATTAAAAAGTGCGAATAACCTCAATAATATTTCTGGAATTTTCTGAGGACAAAATTTATCCCTCCATATTTAAATTTCTTCATAAAAAAAGAGGGCAAATAGGGTGATGCTGCGCAATCCGGACACTCCTAGCTGGCAGCTGACTGGCTCATCGCTGGCGACGGACGGTACCTGAGAAGGGAGCGATGAAGGATTCCCGGGGGACTTGCCCGGTGGGAATACTCCGATGCTTAAGTTAAAACGCTGGAGAAAGTAGTAAAAAATGTAAAGAAGGCTAAGAGTGTAGGTCGCACTAGATCACTGAGTTAGCTCGAGAGAAAGTTTGAGTAAGTTCAAGATAAGATATCAGATATTCGAGAGAGAGAGTCCTCCCCTTCAACTAGGGGGCTTTTATATATGAGCGTTCTTGTCAAATCGGGTGTAACCGCCACTAGACTTCTATCGCAACCGTTATCTGCCAAAGCTGCGCAGGTAACCGTTGCAGTGTCCGTCAAGAGACGTGGGCGCAGACTTGTCGGGCTGGCAGGGACAGAGCCGTCGTTCAGGAGACGTGGTGCAGTCTGGCGGGTACAGTCTTGTCAGATGGAATCTTCCTGAAAACATCGCGCCGCTTAGTGGTGAGCTTCCTTGTAGCGAGCTACCTTGTCGCGAGCTCCTGAGGGTACCGTGAGGTGATTCCTCTTGAAGTGGCCCCTTAGGCAGTTTTTCTGCCTAAGTATTGGGGCGAGCTGGTTACCCTAGCTCGCGAGCTAGGATAGGCTTGTCTTGGAGTATTCCCTTTCAGTACATCG